ACAAGTAGATAAAGTCTGGGGTTAAAGTTTGTTACATATCAATTACTTTTTCGAACCTTCATCGGATTTTAACAGATGGTCTTGGATTACATTTTATGACATGATAGATATGTAAACCACCATAAATTGTTATGAAACTTGGACAGAAACCAATCTTCATGATCAAGAAATCTAAAGCATCTAAAGAAAATTTTGAAATTTTTTTTTTTTTAAATTGTATTTGACTGATAAATGGGATCATTTATTACATATAACATTATATTTTATATTGACAGCAGCAATCCCAGGCTAGACAGAGGGCTCCGTGGAACTCATTACGAATTTCATATTACACCTGACATCTATAAAAACTAATTATTTCATGTGTCCATTAACGAAATTGAGAGAAAACTAGATGAAGACAAAATAATTAATAGAACGACAACATTGAAACTGAGACTGGTCAAAACATTAGGACCACCATTTTTCGAGAACTCTGTCAATGTGTCGGTCCTTCGCAAAAGTTTGGTGGTCGAAACCTTAGGACCACCATTTTTCGAGAACTCTGTCCGCAAAAGTTTGGTGGTTAAACCCTTAGGATCACCATTTTTCGAGAACTCTGTCAATGTGTCGGTCCTTCGCAAAAGTTTGGTGGTCGAAACCTTAGGACCACCATTTTTCGAGAACTCTGTCAATGTGTCGGTCCTTCGCAAAAGTTTGGTGGTCAAAACCTTAGGACCACCATTTTTCGGGAACTCTGTCAATGTGTCGGTCCTTCGCTAAAGTTTGGTGGTCGAAACCTTAGGACCACCATTTTTCGGGAACTCTGTCAATGTGTCGGTCCTTCGCAAAAGTTTGGTGGTCGAAACCTTAGGACCACCATTTTTCGAGAACTCTGTCAACGCTCTTCAACTTCTTACTGTATTTAGCATGTTTTAATATTCGAGCGTCACTGATATATAAGTCTTCTTGTAGACGAAAATTATAAGCCTGGAATCTTTGGTTAGTTTTTTTTGGTCACTGGATGTTTAACACTTAATTCATCATTATAGTCCATAATTGATTGAACAAATGTTCTACTGGTCGCAGTCGATTTCTGAACTAATATAACTTGGATCTGCAAACTGTCGGAATCTATTACAGACGGTCATACACGTTCAGTGGTTATAATTTATACTGCTTGTGGCTTTAACTAACTTGATATATATGTATAACTCATTGGGAGATGTAGGGCCTAATTTCCCATGAAGTTATTTCACAAAAGGGTCGTTTATAAATTATAATATGTTCTTTAATTTTTACTTATTTTCAGTATTCATCATTTTATGTCATATTACTAATCATATAGTCCAATTTGAAGGCCTAATATGCCTCAAGTCTGCAATTTTAAAAGCTTTTTGCAAACTTTGAGTATTCATAAAAAAATAAACGAAAGAGAAGAACATTGTTAAGCAAACTAAAGCCTAACTTTTTTGGAAGTAAATCTATTTATTAATTGTCTGCAAGATACATAATTATTTTGATTAAGGAAGTCGTGCAATCCTAAATTTTACAAAAAAATATATTAAGTTTGCAATATTTCACCCAAACTGTCTTAAACAGCAATGTGAATCATTTTGATTAATGGGTGTACGGAAAATTGTTGCAAAAGCGAGATCCAGTGATCCTAGATTCCGTCGTCGTCGCGGCGTCAACATTTAGGTTCAGTCTGTGATTAAAGTTTTTTTAGACATCTTGTAAAACCTACATGAAATTTTATGAAATTTGGACAGAAGTTTTTGTTTTTTTTTTATGATAAAAATACATTATCCAGAGTAAAATAATTAAATTTTCTTTTTTTTTTCATTTTTCCGTATGTTACTGATTAAATGACTTAAGTTTTTTTTGCAGTAAACAAGTAGATTCAGTCTGGGATTAAAGTTTGTAACATATCAATACTTTGTCAAAATTTATTGAATTTAATGAATCTTTGGTAGAAGCATTTTTTTTATGATTAAGAGATAATACCTGAAGCAGAGTTTTGAAAATATTTTTTTTTATTTTTCAGTATTTTACTGATAGATGAACTTAGTTTTTTGCAGTTCACATTTACATACGGTCTTGGATTAAATTTTTTTGACAAGATAACTTTGTCAAACCTTCATGGATTGTTAGGAAACTTTGACAAAAGATAATTTTCAAGATCGATAAATAAATCTGATGAAAATTTAGATGGTTTTAAAATTCTGTATATTGATAAATGGACCGACGTCTTACACTTTTTCACTCACAGTAGCAATCCCAAGCAAGACACTAGGTAGAGCGGAACTCTTTTCGATTTTTTTTGTTTATATCTTCCTCGTCCATCACACACCATGCACGTATAAAAGAATGACAGTTTTCTTAAAACACAACAGCATCCATGATCTGTTCCATGAAAACACGAGCATGGGGCATTGAATCGTTCTCCATACTCCATATAAAGCACAACAGCACAAGTACGACAAACAAGATTTTATACGAGTCTTTCCAGTTTTTGACGAGGTTCGTGTTGTTTATTCTTTAGTTTTCTATATACTAGTATAGTGTTTTGTGAACTTGTTTGTCTTTTTGTCGTCTATAAGTTTTGAATGTCCTTCGTATGCTCCGCCTCTTTTTTCATTCACTATAGAAGGACCAGAACTTTCAACTAGAAATACTAGTAAGTTTACAAATATACCTTATTGTTGGGATGTAGAAAACCCGTCCACGACCACTTTGTGTTTTTGTTGGATGTATTTCTATTTGTATTCATCTGATGAGTTAAGCCTTTTTCAACTGATTTTCATACTTTGTTCTTATGTTGTACTGTTACACCACTGTCCTAGGTTAGGGGGAGGGTTGGTGCCTTCAAACAAGTTTAACCCCGTCACATTCTGCATGTGACTGTCCCAAGTTTTTGTTTTTCGGTTCATTATTTTGTACATAAATTAGGCCGTTAGTTTTCTCGTTTGAATTGTTTTACATTTGTCATTTCGGGGCCTTTTATAGCTGACTATGCGGTGATGGGCTTTGCTCATTGTTGAAGGCCGTACGGTGACCTATAGTTAATAATAAAATTGAGAATGGAAATGGGGAATGTGTCAAAGAGACAACAACCCGACCATAGAGCAGACAACAGCCGAAGGCCACCAATGGGTCTTCAATGCAGCGAGAAACTACCGCAACCGGAGGCGTCCTTCAGCTGGCCCCTAAACAAATATGTATACTAGTTCAGTGATAATGGACGTCATACTAAACTCCAAATTATACACAAGAAACTAAAATTAAAAATGATACAAGACTAACAAAGGCCAGAGGCTCCTGACTTGGGACAGGCGCAAAAATGCGGCGGGGTTAAACATGTTTTTTGAGATCTCAACCCTCCCCCTATACCTCTAGCCAATGTAGAAAAAACAAACGTACAACAGTACGCACAGTAAAAATTGTTTATTTCTGTGTTATTAGGTCTATTGTGGAGAGTTGTCTTATTGGCAATCATACCACATCTTCTTTTTATATTTAGTCAGAATTTCTCTGTTACTAGGTAAGCCAGTACAACTACTTTCCTCATGCATTTGAACTATTATTTTATGTTTCTTTAATCACTCTGTAATGTATATGTCATGTTGTTATTAATGTTATGCTCTTAATGGGCCCTTTAATTTGGAAAATAAAAATATTGTTTTGTATTGTACTGTATCTACTAGGTATTTCTTTCAAAGATGTTACTGAAACATTTATAGTATAATACAATAAATATCATCAGATCTTTTCTATATCAGAGACGAATGTGTGTTGCCAGGACTGGATCATAGCATTCGCACCCAAATTACAATCGAAATATAGAAGAAGTGATTACTGTATGCCAAATCGCTTTGAATCCATTACAAAAATTAACTTGCTGAAACTTAACCATTATCATGATTATATGGATAAGGAGGTGTGGTATGATTGCGAGAGAGACAACTATTCACCAAATGTCCAAATGACGTGGACGGATGTAAGCAACTGAAACAATTCAAACGATAACACCAACGGCTTATATATGAAACAATAAATAAACGACGAACAAGTATGTTAGACAGCAAACTAACGACAACTACCGAGTTAAAAGCTTCTTATTTGGGACAGACCCATAAATTATGTTGCTTTGGTAAACAAGATTTTTTGTGTGCGCGCAACTCTCCACCCGACCCGAGACAGTGGTGTAACCTATTAAGAACAAATGATAAAAATCACTTGGACATTTCTTGACCTATCAGATTGGCACGAGACAAAAAAAGAACTAATATAAAAACAGAAGAAGCAAAGTGACAAAAAAAGCAAAATTAAAAAATCAACATTTACAGGCAATAACTCCTGTAAGGGGTCATTTGACGATTTCTGCAAAGTTGAATTATTTGTAGATCATTTTTACTGTTCCATTTTTAGCAACGGCGGCCATGTTTGCTGATGGATAAATTCCCGGATAAGATGAACATTCAGGTAAAGTTTAGTAACATTTGGGCCAGTAGGTTCAGAGAAAAAGTTTTTTTTTAATCTACGACGACGGACGGACTGTGCGAGCTAATATAATCGTCTTTAACACGTTTAATATCTTCATTATTTACTACAAGAGGGGGTATATCTACTGTATGCTTCCGAAGACAGTCCAGATAGGTTTCTCAGTAAATGTAACCATTGTTTATTATCTTGTATCATAATTATCATTTTACATCATTTGTTCTTTTTGTTTTCATGCTCACTTCGCATTACGTTTTTCGTCCCGAGCACATACCTGATGAAATATCTTACAGAAATAGGTGATATGCTTGCAGAAATCGGTATCATAAGCTTGTTAAAGGGTTCGAACGGGGGATCTTAATTTTCGTATTCTTTTTAATGTTTAGGCCATTTTCTAGATTCTTTTTTTTTGTATCGATTATTCCTTTTCTTTTTGTTTTGCGCCCTATAATTCTATACTCTTTTGTACCGATTTTCCTCTTTTACTTATTTTGTAAAGACATGTTTTAGACAAAACAGCTATTTAACTTTTTAATCATCAGAATTATACTGAACACACTGTTGAATGATGTCCAGAAACCGGTTCGTGACCTTCATTTCCTCGTCATGGAATTCTTTCATCATTCTCATCCGGTCATCTTCACGAACTTTCTGTTCCTCTCGGTATTTTTCGAAACTAGCCAACAATGTTTGTAAATCGTTATTTTTGCTTTTTTTAATTCGTTCTTGTCTTGATTCATTTTCAGAACTTGAACGTTTCCTGTCATTACAAAGGTCAATAACCGATGTATTTGGATAATTATGGCGGCCGTTTTCGGTGGGGTGTGATAATGGTGCTGTCGTGGTTTGTATGGGACTAGCTGGTGGATTTCTCTGTTGAAAACTAGATGATTGGTGACTGGATAGACGCCTCTCGGTATGATTGTCTGAAGCTTTCTGCTGTGCAAGACTCTGTCCTTGTGAAATGTGTTTGTTGCCATTAGAACTATTTCGTTGTGCGGAAGCTTCTAACAGCATGGATGCAGACACATAGAACTGACTATTTGGACTAGAATTTGGTACAGAATGTGTAGGTGTATTATTCGATCTTTTATCAAATGTTGATTCAGAGTTCGTTTGAGGAAGAGGTGAAAGTTGAGGCCCTTGTTGGCGTTGTGTAGGATATCGATATGCGGAGTGATCGGTAGGTGGAGAGGTAATAGAAGATCTACTTTCTTTTCCTTCAGAAACCGGTACCACTTGTACGTTATTAGCATTTGGTATCAGACGAATTGGAGCTGGCTGGAGATTCACTGGTGTCTTTCCATCGTCAATACCAATCTGCATCTGAAAAATCTCGTGTAGCTCGGAAAAGAATGCGCATGTTCTAGACATATTTCCGGTCATGCAGTTATGCTGAATTGTATTTCTGTAACTAGTTTTAAGGTTTAAAAATTTTCTTTCACAACGGTCTGCGTCAAAAGCGTATCCATTCTGTTGCATTACATCTGCTATTTCCCGCCAAACAACTTTCTTTTTCACATGAGGATTATTAAATTTCATTTGCTTATCACGATATAGTTTCAACATTAAAGCAGTGGCTGAGTCGCACCATTTGAAATCCGACATAAGAACTGGACTTTCTGGTGGCATGTTCTGTGATTGGTCCATTTCTGCAAATAAATTAAACGATTTCTGATCTGAAATATAAAACACACAATAGTGAATATCCATACATACATGTTTTAACTGTTTTGGCTGGTAGCATATATTTGATTGTACTTTTCGCTACGTTGAAAGTTCTACAATTGGCAACACAGAATTTAAAAAAAAAATGCAACTCGATATTTATTTGAAACATCTAAAAACGTATAAAATCATGCACATTCGTAATTTTCATCATTTATTATGATTTGGTTGTGTTAATCTGTAATCACCACAGGTAAGTTGATTTTTTGTTGCTTTTCCTCCTCGATGATTCACCAAATGCGGCTTATGCTATATACTTTTTTTCAAATAAAGAAAAACACATCACGTGATACTCGGGGAACAGGAACTGCTTACCCTTCCGAACTTCCGGTTTTTAATGAGATTAGTATTGCTACTGCTCAATCTTTAGTTTCTTCTGAGTTGTGTTTTGGGGATTGTTTTTTTTTTTTTATATCTGTTCGTTTCTTCTGGCCATGGTGTTGTATTTTTTCGATGGTTTTTACCCCCCCCCCTTTTTTTTGCTATTCTCCTTTTTGTTACATTAACCCTCTACATGCTGAAATGTTTAATTAACTGCACGTTTTGAATGCATCACTGAATCAAATTGATTCAAGTTTTAACCTGTAGAAAAATGAAAATAACACTTTATCAATTTGTAGCGCCGAGCGTAAGATAGGAACATGTGCTTTACCCATTCTGAATATGCATGACATATTTGCCACTGAATGTTGTAACTTAAATAATTGAACTATCGTTTGTCCATTCTAGAAATGAGGGTCTGGATGTGGTTAATAGAATAGAGAATAAAAGACCAATGCTGCAGAAAAAGTGGCAAAAAAATAAAAATACAAAAAAAAAAAATGAATAGAGAATAACAGGGTACTAAAATATAAAAAAAAAATCGTAAGGGTTCCGCGGAACCCAGTGTCTCGCCTTCTTTTGCTGTTAGTCGCAGGCTAAACAAAAATGGGGAAATAATTATTAAACATTTTCCTCTATAGATACTATCTTTTGAATGTAAGAAGCTTCTGTTCAAGTTTGGTAAGAATCCAAAAAAACTTTAACCACAGAGTGAATATTTGTGGACGCCGCCGCCGCCGACGACGACGACGACGCCGACGGAATGTAGGATCGCTATGTCTCGCTTTGGCGACAAAAGTCGCAGGCTCGACAAAAATGAGAATAATGGCAAAATTTATAAAGAATAGAGAAAAATTACCTAAATAGTGAAAAAATACAGATACAAAGGACCCCTATCCAGACCCTCGGAAAATGTTGGATGCTTGCGTTTGCACGTATGAACGGTCGCTTTGAAATAATCTTAACATACCGGTATCGATTCCGCATGTTCAACTTAGTGTGGATCTTCCGCTTCAGATTCCAACATTTTTGTGATAAAAGAAGCCGAGTCACAAGCCTGTATGCGGTTAAATAAATGATGTACTACAAATGACGCATGATTCTACTGAAGATTAAGCCAGGTCAATGTATTATTTTTTCAAAGTCAAATTATTTTCAATGAAATGTCAAGATTTTTGATTTTTTGATTTTTTGGTGTTTTAACGCCACTTTTAAGCACCGCTTTTGGGCTATTTCGTGGCGGCCAGTTTTTATTGTTTGAGGAAGCCGGAGTGCCCGGAGAAATCCACCGACCTTCGATAGGAAAACTGACAATCCTAGTCATTTAAGATTGGAGTCGAGTGCACCCGCACGAGCGGGGTTCGAACTCACAACCTCAGTGTTGACTGGCTAGTGATTACAGTAGTAACTACTTAGACCACTCGGCCACCGAGGCCCCTTGAAATGTCAAGAAATATGGCGTCTGAGAGCGACAATATCAAGGCAATAATAAAACTAGCTATTATTATAATATTACCAATGCTATGATCTCCTTTACTTGATTCTTCATTCTGTTGGTCCATTTTTATCTAACTAAAAAAAAAAGACAATCTAGTTAATAATAATGTTGATGATGGATGAGAGTTTAACATCCAGTGGCAAATATCACATGTATATCAGGTAGAGAGCATGTTAGAGGGTCTGGATGGGGGATCCTTCATTTCTGCATTCTTTAATTTTGTACACCATTTTTCTCAGTTCTTTAATTTTGTACACCATTTTTCTCAGTTCTTTATTTTTCCCATTATTCTCCATTCTTTACATTTTTGGCCTATTTTCTGTATTCATTGTTTTGTTTGCCATTGATTCTGCACTAATTACCCATTATTCCGTATTCTGAATTCTGTAAACACAATCAAGACCCTCATGTTAATGTTATATTATTAAGAACTCTGATTTGTACTAGACTGATACGTAAAGTCTACTATTTAAAAGGAGTTGTCTGATATAGCTAATGGATGGATACCGCTTCCGTGGTCTCGTCACTGGACGTTAAGCAACCAACAATCAATCAATCGGTGGTATCGTGGAAGCTTGTTCGCCTCGAGTGCGGGAGGTCGTTGGTTCGAACCCCGGCCGATTCAAACTAAAGACTTTAAAATTGGTATTTGCTTCTTCTCCGCTAAGCACGCGGCATGAATGAGTAAGAGCAATGGCTGGTCGGCTCGAAGTCAGAATAATGCGTCCGGGAAGGCTGACATGTCTTCCTGTGGACTGTTACCTGGTGAATTAGCATGTTAAAAATCCTCAGCGTGTCGGTCTAGTAAAAAGCATGTTTAATATTCATATTACACCAACATGTTCTCGACACAGGTGAATATGGATTTAATTTGCCGCTGGACGTTAAACATCCATCCATCATCTTCATCTTAGTGGATGGTAGATAGATCTCATCGTTTTGAACATTTATGTCCTCTGTCAGATTTTCTCTATCTGTCTACAAGATAATAGACAAAACCAATGATAATTGTGGCTAAGTAGGGTTTTATGTGGCCTCGTAGTTTCAGAGAAGAATATTTTGGTAAAAGTTAACGGATGACGACGACGGACAAAGTGATAGCAAAATCATAAACTGGCCTGGGGGAGCTAAAAAGACAAACATACACGGGCATTTTTCTCTTCCGCTATGTCAACGGAAGAACGTCTAAGACAAAACGTCTAATTACTTCTATAGCAATGACGATTATATATATATATATATTATATGATAAAGTTTCAGTGATTAATATATATACATGTAGCAACATTTTTTCAAACTTTTTGGCAATGAGTATTTTTTTACAATTATTTATGCAATGTAAACTGAGTAAATTTTGTTTAAGAACTTCGACCATTCCTTCGTACCACAGGCATTTGTCTCTGAACAAATACCTATATACCACAGCTGTATACGAAGGTCTGGATGGGTTTACAGAATAGAGAATAATAGGCAAAATGTGTAGAACAAAATGGTCAAACAAAATAAGGGATAGAGAAAAATAGGGCAAAAAATATAAAGAATAGAGAATGACGGGTTGTTAATAGATATAGGAAGATGTGGTATGAGTGCCAATGAGACAACTCTCTATCCAAGTAACAATTTATAAAAGTAAACCATTATAGGTCAAGGTACGGCCTTCAACACGGAGCATTGGCTCACACCGTGTTGAAGGCCGTAAATATTTTTACTGTTAAAATATAAAGAATATAGAATAATGGTAAAAAAAATATAAAGAATAAAGAAAAATGACCTAATAAATTAAAGAATACAGAAATGAAGGACCCTATCCAGATGATCCAGACCCTCGTTTAATAATATAGTTTTAGAGACAAATGCCTGTGCTTCGCATAAATATTTTTGTATTTTAGTTTTAAATTTCAAACATTTTTATACCTAAAATACCTATTATTTTAGTGAGATGATGTAAAAAAAAATACACAAAATAAAATCGAAAAAAAACTTTAAACATTTTGAAATTAGAAAGATATCCCCTTTTCAGCAGGTGCCTCCTAAGCAAATAAAATACTTGTAGCCATCAACTCAATCTGACGGAGTATCTCAAATATTTATAAACGAATCCGACTTTTTTCGAATATGATATTACAAAATATGTAAAATACTATAAATAGGTATTTCACCCTCAACGGAACCCCTCAATAAAATACAAAGTATTTACATAGAGATTCACAGAGCATGACGGATCAAAGCCAACATAATCATGTTCATTTTTAACATTTTTATGCATACATTGAGGACTCACTAGCTTTCTGATTAATCAAGCATGCATATCTTGTAAATAAACAAAGTAAAACGAGTAACATATTGTTTACATAATGACCTACTTATGATAAAATTATGATTGTTGTTGTCTTTGTCACCTTGTAAAGTCGGTCGGGAAAACGGGTCATTAAAATCATTTAAGCGTTGTCAGCCTTTTATATGCATTTAATTTTATCAGTAAATGCTGTTTGGTGTAAATGATTATTTAACAAATGTACCGGTTTATTTGAAACAGTAAATTGTATGATATACGTGCCTGGTAAACAGAATGATCAGCTTCCTAAACACTACAAACATGATCCGCCATGTTGGAGAAAACCAATTGATCATGATCGTGATGGGGGCTCCTGAAGGGTATTTTAAATACTGTATATAAATCGTTCTGAAAATGTTAAATATAAAAATCACAAATGTCTTAAAAGAATATATTTGTTTATACAATGAGTTTACAAAATAAATAATTAAGAAACTTAAAAGAGTCAAAATAATTACTTTGCTAAATTAATATTATTTTTTTGTCAATATGCCGAATCAATATAAAGTTTTACCAGAAGTCCATTAATTACTACTCTAGTATCAGTATTGTATCACCTTATTCTTTTATTTCCACAGTTTTATACTTTGGGACTATTATTCTCTTTTTTATATATTTTACAAGCTCATTTTCTGCATTTATTAATTTGATTTGCCATTATTTTTTATTCTGTAAACTCCATCTAGACCCTCAGAAATAGCTAGGGTTACTTATCTAAATACAAGAAAGCTATCAAATTTTTTGAAAAATTAATGAATCACGTGGTACAGGTCGACTAAGCTTAATCTAAAATAATCTTTAAAAAAATCATGTATTGCTCGAAAATCAGTTGAATGTACAAACATGACAAATTCATTATCAATTTTTTTGTGTTCTTGTCTTTCATTTTTGCTTATGTGCTTTGTCTTTATGCCATTTTGTTTTTCTTTGTTGACATATTTGTTTTTTTTTTATAGTGATTAAGATTATAACACAATGTTGACTGCTGTACCCTTATTTTTGACATTTTTACCTTTTATATATAAAAATCAGAAGATGTGGTATGATTGCCAATATGACAACTCTCCACAAGAGACCAAATGACACAGAAATTAACAACTATAAGTTACCGTAAGGCCTTCAACAATGAACAAAGCCCATACCGCATAGTCAGCTATAAAAGGCCCCGAAATGACAAATGTAAAACAATTCAAACGAGAAAACTAACGGCCTAATTTATGCACAAAATAATGAACGAAAAACAAATATGTTACACAGCAACAAACGACAACCACTGAATTATAGGCTCCTGACTTGGGACAGGTACATACATAATGAGGCGGGGTAAAACTAGTTTGTTGGCGCCAAACCCTCCCCCTGACCTGGGACAGTGGTGTAACAGTACAACATAAGAACAAATTATAAAAATCAGTTGAAAAAGGCTTAACTCATCAGATGGATACAAATAGAAATACATCTAACAAAAACACAGAGTGGACGTGGACGGGTACTTATGCATCCACACAACAGAAAGACACTAAGTACAGATATGAGAGTACTCGCAGTTACTGACAGCTAGTTTAAAGCCAATAACAGCTAATAAAAAAAAATCATGCATCTAAGACTAAAATATCAACCAGTACACATCCAACATCCATTGGATTTAGTGTAAAGACGTCATAAGCAGTCAGAGAAAACATGGCCTTGTGCAATGCCAAGGTACAGGTATCAACAGATTGTAGAGCCATGAATGTGCATATGTATATAGAAATAATATTTAGTTTGATTTTAATTTACCGATAACAAAATCAATATTAATACCAATAAAAACAATATTCACAAAAATCTAATTACAGTGTAGAATTGGTAATCTTTAAGAATAAGTTTATTTAAAGGATCGATAAGTTTACCCGGATCGTTTCCAAATTTCCGGGTTCGGTAAACAACATCTCCGTAAAAATGATGATGTGCTATTCCGTTTGAAATAAGTTTTCTACAGGTACAACCAAACTTTAAAACCAAATCTTTATATCTATAGAAGAATTTAGTAAAGGTTTTAAGTAATTTGTGGTAACGAAATTCCTGCCTTAATAATTGTCCAGTATAATATATAGATTACGTTAATTGAAATCCAAAACGTTACAACAGACACGGGCATTTTTACGATAGGGAACGAAAAATGTCTGTTTGTTTTCTTCACACATTGTTGTCAATATAATGGAATTTTATGCGACTGTCATACAAGTGAGAGGTTTAGCTAGCTATAAAACCAGGTTTAATCCACCATTTCTACATGAGGAAATGCCTGTACCAAGTCAGGAATATGACAGTTGTTTTCCATTCGTTTGATGTGTTTGAGCTTTTGATTTTGCCATTTGATAAGGGACTTTCCTTTTTGAATTTTCCTAGGAGTTCGGTATTTTTGTTATTTTACTTTTATAAAACTCAGAAAATGCTTCCATTTTAATATTATATTTGAATCTCTTGTACTGTAGATATAATTTGTCCATTCATGAAAAACAAGGCGATGCAGCAAGTTCAAAAATTATTAAGTGCATGATACCAGAAAACCTGCAAATTTAGAATTACTGCAAGCACCCACTTACTATTGAAATTTGAAGATATAAAAATTGAGATATAAAAATATCACACGCGATATCAAAGACTATGTTACAGGTGAAAAGTTATATTTTATCATATATCAAACAACTAGTCAGTGAGTGAAATCGCTAGGCTCCTTTGTTAAACAGTCTATGTTTTAGGGTGGGGTGGGGTTGCGCCCGCATCCATGTTTAACCCGCCAAATTCTGTTTGTTCGTGTCTAAGTCGCCAAATTCTGTTTGTTCGTGTCTAAGTCGCCAAATTCTGTTTGTTCGTGTCTATAAGTCAAGAGCCTGTAATTCAGTGGTTGTCGTTTGTTGCTGTATGTCATAATAATTTTGTTTTTCGTTTGTGGTATTGTACTTAGGTCAAGCCATTGATTTTCTCGTTGGAATTATTTTTACATTTTGTCAAGTCCACACCGGGCTAGTAAAATCTCGATCCGATTCTCACGGAGCATGTTCCTAAATCTCCGTGGGAATCGGATCCAAATTTTACTTTCCCACCGTTTGCGGTCTCGAGTAATTGCTCTTCGGGATTCGGATCTTCGGCGGATTTTGGATCGGGATACCCGTTTAGGCTGGTCCTCTCCCTTGCAACATACTGGTATCTCATCTGTCAGAGCCAAACAGATAAAAGACAGGGAACCAGTCTATATACCCGTTGTGATGTCGGGGCCTTTTATAACTTGCTATGCGGTAGGGGTTTTGCTCATTGTTGAACGCCATACGGTGACCTACTGTTGCTAACACCATTTGGTCTCTGGTTGATAGCTGACGGTCTTATTTGCAATTATAACACATCGTCTAATTTTATATGGAACTGAGGGCAGTGGGCATTTGTGGTTGTATTGAGGTTATGACGATTTTGTTCTTTAAAATTGCATTTACATGTATTGTCATGTATTTAAGAGATGTCCGTATTGTATTTGAAGCTTTGCGGACGTCCATGCATCGGTAGTTTTACCGTCGCAAATTGAGTTTACCTGGCGAAGCGTAGCAAAGTGTTATAAAATTTGATAAAAAGAAGATTTCTAGGTGCAAAATGTGAGGTTTTTTGCTTATTAATGGAGAAATTACATGTCAATACATTCTGGAATTCAAAATCTCGGTTTCCTTAGTTACAGACCGGAAGAATTTTACGCTTATTGTAATCCAATCTGAACCATTGATATAAAATAATTGCATTATAATATGACTTTGACCCTCTTATTGTTATAATTTGAGCTCTTTTTACCACTGTATCCATACATCTGATGGTGGACTGATGTGCCCCCCCCCCCCCCCCCAGGTACTATACTCAGTCCATTTGTGAATTGCTGTGGGTACTGGCATGAAAATACAGAAACTGTTTTATAAAATTGATTTGCAGTGATAAAACTGAGAAATCTTTTGAAATAAAGGAATGCATCTTCCTCGTGTATAGATCTCATTCCATATACGGATTCGACTACACTTTTTGTTCTTTTTGGTTATATCAGCTCTTCAATGTTTGTTTTATATTTTAGAATTGCAAATAGTTTGGCTAGACATTATTTGTAAAAAACAGAGACCAGAAGATACCAGAAGGGAACCAGTATATTTCCACATATAAGTATCAATATTTTTTGTTTCAATCTTAATGATCATGTGTAATCATGTTCATGGTTCGTACCCGTTCCCCAAAATGAAAATAACGGCAATTCATTGGTTCAATTTCTTTTGTTTGGGACGATATTAGGAAATCACAACGTTTTGGACAAGGATTTGTATAGTGAGCATTGATATCACTATACAAATCCTTGGTTTTGGTGTACGCTTTCAAATATTAAAATATTACCCACGGAATGCATTAATTTCGGAAATGGCCAATCTCCGATTGACAGGTGTTTCTTTTAGCTCCACGCCACGTAGAATATGTTATTTGATTATATTGATTATTAACAATAGCAACATGTTCCGTCTTACCTTAAACACAAGCAACAAAGAATTTATTCTTATAATGTTGATCTGGATTCAAATAATGAATTTCAATGATATTTGTAAACGCAGTGTAATATTACTACGAGCAACGTTTGGTTATTTTTGTCGTTGAGTGGCTGCTTTATTTGCGTGTATATCGCAAATCTACTTTTATTCATAAGTAAGAAAATAATAAAATGACGAAATTTTGTAGAGGTTGTGATTTCTTTTTTTCCCATAATTTGGAAAATAAAAAAAAAGATGAAATCTATTAAAATCTGTAAATTCTTTTTTTCATAGATTTGACAAGAAAAAAAAATGAAATCTTGTAGAATCTGCTATTTCCATTTTTTATAAATCGAGATATATTGAGTGATAGCCAAAGAAACAACAAAAATCAAAATAATAATCTTTATGTCTATAAATGTCACAGTACGGCCTTCAATGGACTAATATCTTTGACGTAGATTAAAATTAAAGTTCATGCCAAGTTCACGAATTGTCAAAATATAACTTGATCTATCCTTTTATCTTCTGTTGCTGTAATAACGATGCTATCTTTACGTGTAACTGCTTAAGGTTGATTTTTTTATACAGAAAAAATATTATATTTGTTGATAAACTGCTTTCTAAAATACCATTGAAATTTAATTATAATAACTAAATTCAAATTGGTGTGCGTATTTTTTTTTTTATTTCGCAACAAGTTCCAGCGTTATCATAATAGAGTTTAGATAGAGTAATCGCCTGTACCAAAAGCTAGTTCAA